ACTAGATGTACCGCTTGCTGCAAGGATATCAGGTAGCTATGCTGATGTAAACTTTAATCTGTTAGCTTCTGGTTGTTCTGGCTGCAAACTGCAAGGGCAAAACAAAGAGAACCTGTCTTGCATCATCCTGCACAGGCCTGTTTGAGGCAAGCTATTTGTGGAGTCCCAGAGTTTATTTTCTCCGCTCTCTGCATGTCAGAGCAGTGGGTAGTGAACTTTCAGAGCCGAGATGGAAATGTGGTTTGCGGTTGTCTCTAAAAATGCATGGTATAGATGTAAAATTATTTAGAATGTGTGTTTTAGAAATCCATGGAAATTACTTAAAAAATCTTTCAGGTAAAAAATTTCCCAATGTTTTAGTTTTTTTTTTTTTTCCAAGTAGAAAATTACCGTTTTGAAAATCCAGTGATTCTATGATAGCGTTCTAAGTATCTGATTACAAACAGCTGAGAAGTAGCTCTCGGTTTATGAATCAGTGATTCATTATATCATCATCTGTTTGGTCTGCCAAGGAAAGAAACTTGAGAAGTACAGTATTTACTTATCAGTCACGCACCTCTTAAGCCCTTTAGTTAAGATATTCCTAAATCCTGTCTAAAAGAATGAGTTCAGCAGTCCTGCACTTTTTGAGTTAATTCTTCTATTTTAAAAATGAAGTCTTTATGAAGTTAATAAAAAAAAAAAAAAGTATCTAGTGAGAAGCTAAAAACTTTCAACCATAGATAGGAAAATTTGGAAATTAAAAAAATTTTAAATTCAAATTGCTTGATTTATGCAATTAGATTCTTAGCTGTTTATACCTTTTTGCTGCTTTTAGACAGTAATTTGCTTTGTTCGGCTGTTTAAAAAATCTTTGGTCTCATGGGGAGGTAATTTATTCACTTTGGATGTAAATTTGTGTTACGTAGGGGTCTTTTCAAAAAACCTCTTTCAGAGCCCATTATTTTCTCTGAAGTAAAATACCTGTTATAGAAGGAGGCTTTTGTGTTCCGTATCAGGACTACCAGAGGAGAAGGAGAATTACTAACACTGTTCATAGACCCACCAGCATTTATCCTGTCAAAGAATGCCTGGAGGGAAGGGTGGCTGGTAGTGACTACTTCATCTCTGAGGCACTGTCAGGTAGCTTAGAATTTACTTTGATCCATGTCGTAAAATTGTTATTGCAGGGATATTGGGAGACAGGGATAAATGCTTTTTCATGAGAAAATTTGCACAGAAAAGAAGAAGGTGTTGTGTTTTGTAGTTAATCCTGCATGTAGCATTCATAGATATGAAGAAATAGATGGGAGTTCTATTTTCTAGATTAGTACTTCTCAAATTGTTTGGACTCAGGACTGTTTTGCACGCTTAAAAGTTATGAGGTGCCCAAAGTGTTTTCATTTATGTGGGTTATATGTATTGATATTTACTATATTAAAAATGAAAACTGAGAATTAAAAAAGTCTTCATTTCAAATAACAATAATAAACATATGTTAGTATAAATAACTTATTTTTATGAAAAATGAATATATTTTCCAAAATATAGATGTATAAAATGTAGACGAACTTTTCATATTCCTACACTTTTAATGGATCTTTTTACTCATGTCTGATATGAAATCTAAAGCATTGGTATTTTGGAAAATGTGGTTTACTGAGTTTTATAGATCTTTTTACATGTTGAAACACATCATTATACAATGTCAAACTTACATTTGGTAATATCACCCCTGTTCTCATCTGAATAACCTTTTAAGTATTGGGAAGCTCTCGAGCTCATGGTAGTGATATACATTTTCCTAACTTCTAATTTTTGCTTGAAAGCATGAATATTATCGTTCGCCCCAAATACTGTCAGTTCTTTTCCTTGAAGTGACAAACTCATTTCATGCATTTTCTAAAAAATATCTGCCAGATGCCCAAGTCTTAATAACTATAGTTTGTCTCTTAGTCCTTCTTTCAAGTAAAAGTGGAGTTTCGTGAAAAAGATGGCTAATTCAGAGTACAACCTGATAGTGGCACAGATGCTTTTCTTCAAGACAGCCATCGTTCATGGTGCTTTATGTGTGTTTCCCATTTCATCACACAGAATATTAAAGTGATGTGTATTTGAGGGTTGGAATTTAATAAAATTAATAATTTTTATTGCTTTATCAAGAGCATTCTTAAGTGAAATTGACTTTTTTTTTTTCCCCCTGCCAATGCATGAAGGTGAAGGGTACAATGACTACTAGCATGGTTTGGAGTCACTTCCTTAATTCCTGCAAGCCACGGGCATTGTTATCCACTACATTAGTGCAAATGTTAACACGGTTGTTGCAGCATGACCTTGCGATTCAAAAAAGTTATTCAATCCTTGGAATATTTCAGCACTTCTTTAATTTGATGCCAAGCATTCACATAAGAGAAGGTCTTCTTTGATGATTTGTCATGCCGAGAGTGGTAAACACAAGCAAAACAGCAAGTCCATCAATTTCTGGAAATTCATCCATTTATAAGGCAAAAGTATGAGTCTTCAGATGAGATATCAACACAAACTTCATGTCGCAGCTAGATCTTTAACAGAAAAATGGCAGTGCTGTGATTTCTTTTGCTGACTTTCCGTACAGTAGGAATTCAGCAGTGTCAGCTATGTAACCGCCTCTCAGCTAGCTTGAGCGTTTCTTCAGCCAAGGCAGCGTGATAACTAACCCTGTACAAAGTATCAGTGGCTTTTTCACTTCTAGGTTGAAATGGTGTAATAAACAATGCTTGACTTTTGAAGAGCTCATCATGTCTATGTTTCAAATATTCAATTTCTTTTTCTTTGTATTCCCAGTGATTGGTCTCAAAATGACACCACAGATTAACTTGCACCATAAATATTAATCAAAATTATTCTATTGCATAAGACACAATAAGGTAAATTATTAATACCTATAAAGCTGAGGTAAAGATGGCTTTCATCATGTTTTCATTTCTTATTTATCATTTCATCTGCTTTCTTTGGAGTAGATTCTTTTCTTCCGTAATATGTCAGTTTCATTTTTTTCCAGTATTTTTAGATGTAGACAGTGCAGCTGTAAGTTGAGAATGCAGATCTTCTCATATCCTCTTTGTAAACCAGTGATTCATCCTTAAGTTAAGAAAAAGTGTTTTATAAATAATCCTTTTAGAATGAGATAAAATATTAAATCTAAAATGTTTCAGTTAAAATTTAGTGTCTGCCTTGAACACTGTGCTTTTTAAAGAACTATCTGTGTGGGATCAAATTGACAACAGTAACTCGAAAAGATTAGATAGAAAACAGGGAACAGTGAGCTTATGTTAATGGTAGGGGAACAATTCAGAAAAGGAGGGTGCAAATGGTTACAGAACCTGAAGAATATAATCAATGTCACTGAATTGCGCGTGTACAAATTGTTGAATGGGTGTGTATCCTGCTGTGGATATTCTCAACAAAAAAAATAAATAAAATTAAATTAAAATTTGTTTTTAGTTTGAAAATTTAAAAATGTTATTGCAAAACAAGTTAACAAAAGGTACTTAGTCCTTTTGTGTTTCTGTAGGTTGCGGGGGAAACTTTGGTATTCAAAGTAAAGATTTATTGAGCAATAATGAGGTTACAAAGAGTATAGCAGGAATAACTGAAGACATATGTAAGAGCATACTAGAAGTACTGAGAATGAACAGAGTTAATCTCTGAAAACTCACCCCTTACACCCTGAACTTCTACCTTAAAGGTAGAACACAGCAGAATACACAAACACACATGCCATCAGCTGCCAGAGTGATGATGTCGTCACACATCCTGTAGCCTCTGGAACATTCCACTGTACACTGAAGAGAAGTTATGAAAATGGTTTTGAACTCGAAGACCCGCTGAAAGAGGCTTAGTGATTCCCTGCGGTCCCCAGACCACGCTTTAGGAACTGCTGTTCCAGATGTTTGAATTGACCGTCAGAGTGTTTTAAAATTCACTTCTGAAAATGCTGTGCATGCATTCTTCATATTTTGCAACCCCGGAACTGATGTGACATTTCCTTGTCAAGATCCTCCTCATCCAGGCCTTATTCTGTGACTTCTCATAAAATTAACTCTGATATCTTGTATAAATAAGGGCAGGGGCAAGAATGAGCATGCACTTTTATGTCATGAATGTAAGTAGATTAATTCATTTATTTATTTTTAATTAAGAAAGTATGCAATCTTGATTCAAGGCTAGGCTTTATTTGTGTAGGACCGTGTCCCTTATTCCTTGATCCGGTTTATTGCTGGAAAGAATGGAAATTTTGATAAGAGGGTCAGAGTGTCTCTATTCAGGGTCTTGCTGATCATGTCTAACTGGGAAAACTTGGCTACAATGTCACAGGCACAAAGGTCTCAGCTTCCTCCTTCGTAGCAATAATAGCATAGGAGTGTGTGCTCCTATCCATCTTCTTTCAATTAGGACACCACATACATCAATGATGCTGTCCAAGGGCTCTCTCAGCATCGAGTTTAATGTGATAATTAGTTAGGATTAAATTACCCATTAAACAAAGTGTTTTTACAGTAATGCGTTAGTAAGATTGGAGAGTTGTTTAATTATGAATTGCCTTGTGCTATATTTTTCCAATCTTAAGATACACATTTAACATCTCTGAAATGGGAATCAAAGGTGTTTAATTGGTGACATTTTTCTCATATTTTTTGTGAAATAACAATTTTTGTTTTAATTTTGAAATGTTATCTTCAAATATGTTTGCTTTAATATAAATACAAATGTTTGTTTCATGAGGAAGGCTACAACATATTTCACTCTTTGAGAGTTTCCATTATTTTCTTTTAAACAAATAACAGACTCTAGCAATAATTTGTGTGTATACATATATATTTTTCTAAAGCGTGCACTTCCACCTTAAGTGCTTCATAGCAAATAGGAAACTTAACATTGAACTGTGCTCTTGTAAGTTGTTTGGAACGGTAGCTCTCCTTTTTCTACTTCTTCACTTATGTTTTTATTTGATATTCAGTATTTATTTCTGTTCATGACAGGTTTATTTTAGGACCGTGGAACTTATAGAGGAGCCTATAGAAGGGTCTTCAGGTCTGAGCTTCTACTTCAAAATTAATGGGTTTCCCATATTTCTGAAAGGCTCGAACTGGATCCCAGCAGATTCATTCCAGGATCGAGTCACCTCTGACTTGTAAGTTATCATCTTTCTTTTCTTTCTCCATTTTTAACTGTCCCACAAAGCTTAGGAGTTACTCATTTTGAGTTTCTTTAATCCCAGTGGAGGGAACCGAGGGGTACTATAGAATTCTAGGATAATGGAAACTTTAGACTGGAAAGACTTTTCAAATCATATATTCCATTCTCCTAATCTATATATAATCTTGTAGCTAACCTATTTCAGACTACTGAAGCCATTCAGTCTTCAGGAAACCATTGAACATTTACTTTGGAGAAACAAGGAAATGACTAATGCATGTTTTAGGTAGTCCCTGGGGGAAGGGGGAGATGCTTAAATTCAGCTTCTTTTCAGTTTTTTAAAGACTATCTTAAATATTTTTGAGTATGTTTTAAAGACTAGAACTCATATTTACCTCTTCATGCTAAGATATTTGCATATTGTAGATCTAGGAAAAAAAATGTGTTTTTCTGAAGCTATGAGAATAGGATTTTGGAAGAAAATATTTCCTAATTGGTTTTGTAATTAGGGTTTATCTTTTAAGTGAAAATACATACATTTATTTGAAAATGTGTAAATATGCAGTACAGTATATTATTTAATATTTAGAATGTGTATGTGGTTAGTAATTAAATCCTCATTTTGCCAAAAGTTGTAGTAATTTTCTTTTACTTCAAAATGTGAGTATTGTTTTGAATTCCATAAGAAAATAAAAATTCTTCTCCAGGCACAGATACAGGATAATTTGCCCCATCTTTTCCTTTTCAAGGAGTCCCTGGGTGGTGCCAATGGTTAACGTGCTGGGCTGCTGCCCTAAAGGTAGACAGTTTGACTCCACCCAGAGGCACTTCAGAAGAAAGGCCTGGCGAGCTACTTCCTAAAAATCAGCTATTGAGAACCTTATGGAGCACAGTTCTACTCTAACGTACATGGGGTCCCCATGAGTTGGAGCTGACTCCACAGCAACTAGTTTTTTTTCTTTTTCAAAAGCTCTTCCCCTCTCCTGCCTGGGCAGTTTGGCACAGCTGCGCCTATTAGTAAAGCTGCCCATGGGTGCCTTTGCTGAGAGCACAATGCTCTGGGTCCCTGACTAACTTTTATTTGGCTCTTAATTCATCCCTGGGCAGAGTTCTGGGGATGGAGGGTACATATGCTCAAACTGGCTGTAAATTTCTAGATTTTTCTGAGGGAAATGTGAATAGGAATTGGAAAATGTAGAAAGGAAATTTACTAGAGGAAGAAGTACTGGGCTGGAGGAATTGTAAAAAAAGGAGATAAGGGTGAGCTAGGTTCTAATATTCCAGCTTGATTTTTTTGTCTTATAGTTTGAAATGATTATATAAAATTATTGCATACTTTCCTATGTCTACAGGTATATTTTTCTACAGGAATAACTTTGAAACATTTAGTTTTAAAAATAATGTATAACATTACTAAAAATTTAGAAAGCAGAGAAAAGATGTCATTCATAATTTTTCAAAGTTTGCATGTTTTATGTGGTTATAGTTAATATGCAAAAATTTTGTCTCATTTTCTTCACTTAACATTGTATCCAAACTATCATTATTTTAAAATATGTTTACCTACCAGAGATTTGAAATGTGTTTATGCACTACAATGTGTTTTTAAATCTCTTCTTTAATATCCCAAATTTTTTTAATTTTTTATTTTATTGTTGTACTTTAAGTGAAAGTTTACAATTCAGGTTAGTCTCTCATACAAAAATTTATACATACATTGCTATGTGACCCTAGTTGCTCTCCCTATACTGTGACAGCACACTCCTCCTTTCCACCCCTGATTTCCCATGTCTGTTCAACCATCTCCTGACCCTGTCTGCCTTCTCATCTCACCTCTGGACAGGAGCTGCCCAGTTAGTCTCATGTATCTACTTGAGCTAAGAAGCATACTCTTCACAAGTATCATTTTATGTCCCATAGTCCAGTCTAATCTTCATCTGAAGAGTTGGCTTTGGGAATGGTTTCAGTTCTGGGTTGACAGAGTCCGGGAGCCGTGCTTTCTGGGGTTCCTCCAGTTTCAGTCAGACCATTAAGTCTGATCTTTTACTAGAATTTTTGAGTTCTGCACCCCACCTTTCTCCTGCTCCATCCGGGACTCTCTGTTGTGTTCCCTGTCAGGGTGGTCATTGGTGGTAGCCGGGCACCATCTAATTCTTCTGGTCTCAGGCTGATGAAGTCTCTGGTATATGTGGCCCTTTCTGTCTCTTGGGCTAATACTTCCCTTGTGTCTTTGGTGTTCTTCATCCTCCTTTATTCCAAGTGGGTTGGGACCAATTGATACATCTTAGATGGAAGCTAATATCCCAAATTTTTAAAATTAGGATTTGTTTTTAAAATTTCAGATCAGATAGTTTAAGTTTAGTTTCTTTTCTTCTGTAGGTTACGACTCCTTTTGCAGTCTGCTGTGGATGCTAATATGAATGCTCTCCGGGTTTGGGGAGGGGGAATTTATGAGCAGGATGAATTCTATGAACTCTGTGATCAACTGGGAATAATGGTGAGTATATGATAGTATGTTATCTATTGATATGTTATTGTGTCCTCAGTTTGACTTCCAACATTCTGAGTGGGTGATATTACTCATTACCTTCTTTCTCAGAGCCAGGGATGTTGTTCCTTTTCACTTTCAAAGGAATAAATGGCACCTCGCAAACCCAGAGCCATAGTTGATGGCCAATAGCATAAGCAGTTAGTTTTAAATGACACACATTCTATGTATTAGTTATATCTAAGTGTATGTCACCTACATTTTGCTTTGCGATATTAAATATTAATTAAATATTTTAAAAGTTTAACCTCAAGGATATCTAACAAAACCTAGGGAGAAGAAAAACAATAAAATGAAGAAAAGAAAATGTGTACTTAATATTGTTAAATAAGTACTGTGAACATGTTTCTATTGGTGAGGATTAAACAATGGAAATATATTCTTTTAGTTCTACTGTTACAGTTTGAAAATCTAAAGAGCTTCATAGAAAGGGTGACATTTATCGTGACAAGGCTGATGGTTGTGATAATGATAATGACATAATATTTATTGAGTGTCAGGCATTATTCTAAGTGCTTTGCATATAGTGTTTCATTTTATTCTCATGCCTGTCCTATGAGGTAGTTACTATCATTCTCTGTTCCCATTTTACAGAGAGAGAAACTGACACATGGAGAGGTTAAATAACTTGCCAAAAGTCACACAGCTTGTATATGGTAGAATCAAGATTCTGACTCAGCCTGATTCTGAGTCTGTTCTCTTAACCACTGCATGATAGGGCTCCCCTATCCTTTCTGCCATGAAAAGTTAACTCCTTTATAAACAAAGAAAGTAAGCTCTGTAGCTAAGCTATGACTCTGAACAGTCTGGTATATCTCTCAGTACCACATTCCTGGGGAAAATTAGAGTGAAGTAGGAGTGAGGAGGAGTCCCTGGGTGGTGCAAATGGCTAAGGAGCTGAGCTGCTAACCAAAAGATTGGCGGTTCGAGTCCATCCAGAGGCCCCTTGGAAAATCAGCTATTAAAACCCCTGTGGAGCTCAGTTTTACTCTGACACACCTGAGGTCATCATAAGACAGAACTGACTCCATGGCAATGGGATTTTTTCTTTTTTTTTAAGGGCTACGGGGAAGCTTCTTTTCATATCCCCTTGACATACTCATTGTTTCCTTATTTGAATTCTCCTTCTTTCCCTTTTTTTCAGCTTGCCTCACATTTTCTCTTCTCAGGTTTCCCTACAGTTTGTGCAGTTCTGGAAAGCTGAGTCTCTCCTCAGTCAGATCTGTGAGGGCCTTCCTTCAGTGCCTCTCTGCATAGTAATGCTGAAAGAATCACACTGATCAGGCAAACTTGATTTTTCATTTGTGTGAAAGATAATCCCCAAAGTTCCAACTGAAGAATCTCTTTCTGTGTAATAAAATGTATGGAAATGCTTTATTGCCTTTCATTTTATCTGATAGATATGGCAGGATTTTATGTTTGCTTGTGCCCTTTATCCAACTGATCGGAGCTTCATGGATTCAGTGAGTGCAGAAGTTGCTTACCAGGTACGGTATTCTAAGAAGAAAGAACATTCATATCTTAGCTTTGCCTTTTGCTAAATCTCTCATTTTTCTTCTGTTGTTCTTTATACTAAATCCTATGGTAAATCATACAGTCAGGTAATTGACTCGTTAGGTGAATCCACCTGGTTTTGTGACTTTAACATCACCTGTATGTTGATGGTTCCCCCATTTATCCCCAGTCCTGACTTCTCTGGTGAATTCCTGGTGCTTATATCCAGCTGCCTACTGGATGCCTCTGCTTGGAGGTTTAATAGGTATCTCAAACTTAGTATGTCCAAACCAAACTTATATTACGTTCCCAAAACTTGCTGTACTATAGTCTTCCCTGCCTCAGTAAATGGCAGCTCCGCTCTGAATTGCTCAGGCCAAAAATTTGAAGCCATTCTTGATGCCTTGATTTCTTTTGCATTCCACATATGCACACTTATATTTATATTTGTAAATATTTAAATGCAAGGAAGTAGTTATAGCCTAGCTCTGTCTACTGAAAAGGCCTAGAAACAATCGCCAACCTAGTAGTATTGAGCATACTTGGTGTCAAGGTTGTGATACTGAATCTTTCCCGTTAAGGGAGGAGCTTCTTAGAGAAATGATTGATTCCAGGTCTGTGACAGGAAACATACAAGATGGCACTGGAACATCTTGGCATACATACAACAAGGAAGCTATCAAAGACATGCCAAAAGGACTTGCAGAGACTCTGACCAGCCAGAAGTGGCACAATTTGAGCTTTAACGAGAATAAGAATTTCAATGGATTGAAGTCCATCAAGTATGTTTAAATCTATGAATTCATAATTATAGTGTCTGTAGATGTACACTTAGATGAAAAGTCATAAAGAAATTGCTTTAAAACCCTGTCATAAAGAAATTGCTGTAAAACTCAGGGTATGGTTACTTTTGAAGGAGGGAGGGGCTGTGATTAGGAAGATGCACGTGGAGGGCTTCTGGCGGCTATGTTCTCTTTCTTGATCTGAGTCATTATGTCCCACTATGACATTCACTATGTCATACATTAGTTTTCTGTATCTTGGTTTCATTTTACAATAAAAGTTTTAGAAAGTGCAAATGTAATCATTCTCTTGCTAAAAACCCTCCAGAGGCTTCCTGTTGCCCTCAAGATAAAGTTAAAGATCTCACCATTCACGACCCTGTCCTTGCTCTGCTCTCCAGCCTCATTAAACACCTATCTCCCTCTTGGTTTCTATTCCTGGAACACCTTCCCCATCACCTTCCTCTATGGATCACCTCACTCGTTCTCCTCTGGCCCCTCTTACCTTGTGCATAACTTTCTCTGAGAGAAACCTTTCCATTATCCACAAGTCTCGATTACATCAGCCTCCACTTGCCCTTTGTGACACATAACACGTTTTGAATTAGTTGTTCAACGATTTGTCACCCCTGCAAGATTATAATTTCCCTAAGGGCTAGTGTTTGTTCCCTTCTATATCCCCAGTACCTGGCTGGATTATTTGTTGAGTGGGTGGATGGGTGATGGATGGATGGGTGAATAACTTTTAATATATGAATTATAGTTGTGCTATTTATAAGCATTTCACTCTTATTTTTAATTTTCTTTCATATAAACAATTAAAATATAATGTACCTTCAATTCTTTTATGTATTACCAAAAAAAAAATAAAAGAACCCGTTTATGCAGAGTTTGTTAAAATTTTAAAGTAAAGCTTTGTCTTAAAATTTTAAGCCAGTTTGAAGGATATGTGTAACACAGAGTGATTGAAGCTCTTTGCCTTTTCAGTATTTGTATTTCAATTTTCAAGGAATCAGCACAATAAACATTGTAACACTGTGGCAGCAGCCCTTACTTACGTGGGCATATACAGAGGCAAATAAAGGGAATACTGTTTGCAAGCCTGGTTTAGAAAAACAAAAGACTTTAATTTTTTAATGAGATATATCTCTTTAATCTTAACACATCTCTATTTCATATATCTTGAGTTATTTAGCCACAGTGAGAACATCAGTGGAGATCCATTATTTTAAATCATTACAGTGGAAGAGAAGTTATAGTTACCAATGAAGTAATATTGCCACAACATGTTCCAAAAGAATTTCTGTTGACCATGGACTCTCCCTGTAGTTCTCAAAGAAATGTGACTGCACTCTTCTGTTGGGGCAGGTCTCACAGTGTGTCACAAGAAAGGGACATGTCTGAATCTGTATGTAAGGCCCAGAGTGAGCCAAGTTCTTGTAGGCTTGTAGGCTTCATGTCTCGTAGCTGCCAGGGATTAGAGAGTCTCTAGTGTCCTCTTCTATATTTAGATATATTCAGTAACTTACCCTTAGTTGATTTCTCAGGACATGACATTGATAGTTATTTCAGGAGGCATCCTCTTGATTGCTCTAAGCGTTTTTCCTTTAGAGTATTCTATTATGTTTGTCTTTTACCTCCATTGTAAACTTCTGTTCCTCTGCCTCCAACTTCTCCAGCTTTACCTCTGGTTCTCATCTGTATTGTAAAACTCTCTCTAGTTGTTCTTTTGATTTGTTCATCTCCAGTGGAAACTTCATAGAAACTTCAATTCCTCTCTCATTTTTTCCACACAAAACTCCAGCTTGCTCTTGAAAACTAAACCCTGTAATATCATGGGCTCTTAGTCTTTGGGACTCACAGAATCCTGCATTTTGTATTTCTTAGAACCTTCTTGTGGCAATTCCGATAATGATGAGATTGGTTTAGTTTTCTTTTTACAAAGGGATTGTGTTTTCTTCAGTAAAGAGGAACCCTGTCTAATTGGTGTTAAATAATCTAGATAAAAAGAATCTCAAAGATCTCAAAATGTTATGTGTATTCCCACAGCTAACATTATTAGCCGTTTTCTAAGTAATGAGCTTTTCTGGCATGTAGAATTTATGTGCATACATGCTGATGGCTATAGTTTTATGCGTAACCATAGATCTGAGTTTTTTGTTTTTATGCTTAGCATTTGAAAATCATTTTATGTTTTCTTAAATTTCAGATCAGGAGACTAAAATCTCATCCCTCTATCATCATATGGAGTGGCAATAATGAAAATGAAGCAGCTCTGATGACGAATTGGTATGACATACCTCCCAGTGACTACCCAATGTACATCAATGATTACGTGATGCTATATGTGAAAAACATCAGAGAGGTCGTCCTGGCAGTAAGTAATGATTTCTATGCAGTAGAAGTTATTGAATGTGTTTTAAAAATGGATCAGTTTAAATATTGTTATAGTATATTTTTATGCTCTTTTTGGGAACAGTCTTCAATAACATCATTTTAATGCACAGTATTCCATTGTAAGCCTGCAGCATATGAAAAGATTCATGGGTTGTGAGCTCCTTTGAGGATTAACACACCTATGAAGCTCTCCACAATACACCAAAATTACACTTACAATTGTAGGTTGTCACAGACTGCTTGGAGCCCATCCATGGGTCCCCAAAAGTTTAGAATCCCTAGACTAGATGATTTATTGATATGTTGTGTCTTAGGCTGGGTTCTCTAGAAAAGCAAAACCAGTAAAGCATATAAATATATATATAGAGAGATTTATATCAAGGCAACAACTCACGCAATTGTAGAGGCTAGAACATCCCAAGTCCGTGGATCAGGGTAAAGGCCTCTCCCAAGTCACGCAGCCGCAGAAGCTGGCGAGCCCAAGATCTGCAGGTTGGAGGGCAGGGACTCCCACTCACAGGCTGTGAAGGTTGACAAATTCCAAGATGGCAGGCAAGACTGCAAAGTTTCTCCTGATTCACGTAGCTACAGGGGCTGGTGAACCCAAGATCAGCAGGTCAGAGAGCAGGGCTCTACTCACAGGCTGTGAAGTTTGATGAATCCCAAGATTGGCAGGCAAGACCACAAGGTTTCTCCAGATTCATGTAGCGCAGGGGCTGGCGAACCCAAAATCGGCAGGTCAGAGAGCAGGGCTCCACTCACAGGCTGTGAAGATCGATGAATCCCAAGTTCGGCAGATAAGCTGACAGCTCAAGTCCCAAGAACCGGAGGTGAGATGACAGGAGGCAGCGGCAGGATCCAGAGTGAGTAAAAAGCCAGAACGTCTGCTTATATTCAGATGCAGGCCACACCCCCAAGGAAACTCCCTTTCATCTGATTGGCTGCTCACAGCATTTTCAATCATGGGAGTGAATTAGTTGTTCAACACTGAGAATCATGGCCCAGCCAAGTTGACACACAATCTTAACCATCACATGCTGGTTTAAAATTCTGTAAGTGTAAATACAAGCGTGGAATTTGATATATATCCTATATGAACATGTTGGTATGCTACTTAAGGGGCAGGGCAAAAGTAAAGCGCTGGTTCCCAACTCTACCTTGGGACACTTCCTCTAAGGTAGTTCTCTCTGTTCTATTTGTTTAATAGGCCTATATTATATATTAACATATTTAACAGAAATGTATGTATGTACATATGTTAATACAAATTGGCATTTTTGCAGGGAGAGGAAGCAGCTTTTTTTCCCAATTTTATAGTGCTATAAGTGAAAGTTTACAGCACAAATTTGTTTCATATTCAAAAATTTATACACAAATTGTTTTGTGACATTGGTGCTTTTTTTTTTTATAGTAATGTCCTCAAATAATTTAACTTTTTAAAAACTTTAATGTTTAACATATGATGCAATAACCTGGTTGTGTTTACAATTTCATATCTGTAATTAGATGTTTTAAACATTTGGTTATCCTGAAACAATTTGAAATGGTATTAGTGCCTAAGTATGCCCAGTTGACAACATGAAACCATTTATTTGAAGAAATTTCAGAGAGAACTCATGAAAAACATAGATTCAAATTTATAGCTTGCCTGATATACTAAGTCATATATCATGAAGAATTTTTCTATTAAAAACAAAGTGAGCTGCTATAAGGTTGAATAAATATTTCCACATTTATTTTATAATCTTTTATTCACAGTGTTGGTGAATGTTATGTTTTTCATATCTGATGGATTTTAAAAAAATGGATTTTAATAGCAGAAGATTTTCATTTCAGAGCATAGTAGTTAAGAGCACTTGACTCCATATCCTAGCTGGGCTGCTTACTGTCTGTGTAATCTGGGGCAATTTACTTAATCTCCATTTACCCATCTCTAAAACTTGGTTGGAACCCTGGTGGTGCAGTGGTTAGGAGCTGTGGCAGCTAAGTGAAAGGTCAGCAGTTCGAATCTACCAGCAGTTCCTTGGAAGCCCTGTGGGACAGTTCTACTCTGTCTATAGGGTCACTTTAACAGTAGAGCCTAACTCTTAGAGTGTTTTTGTGGCTTGAGTGAGATAATGAATGGAAAGTGCAGTACACAGACTCTGGCACATAGTAAACTTTTAATTAATGCTAGCCATCCTCATCATCACTGTTGGTTTTATTCAACAAGATACTTACAAAATTTAAATTTCTTATTTTAGCACAATATTCTTGAACTGAAAAAATTAGCTTCTGTGTGCCACCTCTTCCTCATCTCTGAAATGGAAATATGATGCCTTTCTGACAAAGATTATTGTAAAATGATTTTGTGATCAATAATTGATTGCAAGTTTCTTTGAAGATGGATGGGATGAAGTGTGACATTGCTGTTGTTATTTCTTTCAAAATATAAACCATTTAAGGAAAAGCACCATGAATTGATCCATCCACATACTAATTAGTTTCCTGTTGCACTTCATGCCTTCTTTTTATGGTCATTCTCTTTGTGCATCTTATGGTATCTCTTGGTGCAAATAAACATTTAAGGTTATGATATAAAAAGAGATCTGTGAGATTTGTGACTAAAACCAGGCCTCAAGAGGAAGTGATTCATAAATGGAAGGAAATGTTAGTGTATATCAAAGACGAATACTTTCAGGCAGAGTCTCATTAGTACTTTTACTGACTGGCCTAGCTTACCAAATTATTCAAGAATTTGGAGGAATGGGGCAAAAAGAGTCAAGCTTTGGGGAATTGTTCGGCCATCTCCTGCAATTTCGCTTCAAAGACATTATAACAATGTATTTTAAAAATATTTAACAATATTTTTTAAAATTTAAGATTACCTATAATCTCACTATACTTTTCCAAAAAATTTTTATTGTGCTTTAGGTGAAGGTTTAGATTGCAGATTAGTTTCTCATTCAAAAATTTACACACAAATTGTTTTGTGACATTGACTGCAATCATCGCCACAATGTGTCAGCAATTCCTCCTTTCCCTTTACACTACAGGTTCCCCATGTCCATTCGTTCAGTTTTCCTGTCCCTTCCTGCCTTCTTGTCTTTGCCTTTGGGCAGATGGTGCCCGCTTGGTCTCGTATACTTGATTGAACTGAGAAGGTGTTCCTCACTTGTGTTATTGTTTGTTTTATAGCCCTGTTTAATCTTTGGCTGGAAGGTGGACTTTGGGAGTGGCTTCAGTTCAGAGTTAGCAGAGTGTACAGGGGCCGTAGTCTTGGATGTTCCTCCAGTCTCTGTCAGACCAGTAAGTCTGGTCTTTTTTTTTTTTTTGTTAATGAATTTGAATTTTGTTTTACATTTTTCTCCTGGTCTGTCCAGGACCCTCTACTGTGATTTCTGTCAGAACCGTTGTTGGTGGTAGCCAGGCACCATCTAGTTCTAGGCTCAAGCTGGTGGAGGCTGTGGTTCATGTGGTCCATTAGTCCTTTGGTTTTCTCCATTCTCTTTTGCTTTGAATGGGATGGGACCACTAGATATATCTTAGATGGCCACTCACAAGCTTTTAAGACCCCAGATGGTACTCACCAAAGTAAGATGTAGAACATTTTCTACTCCATATCCTAGCTGGGCTGCTTACTGTCTGTGTAATCTGGGGCAATTTACTTAATCTCCATTTACCCATCTCTAAAACTTGGTTGGAACCCTGGTGGTGCAGTGGTTAGGAGCTGTGGCAGCTAAGTGAAAGGTCATCAGTATAACTCTGTTATGCCAGTTGACCTAGATGTCCTGGGAGATAATGGGCCCCAGTCTTCAGCCCCAGTAACTTGGTTTTCCAAGGTATTTGGATGTGTCTAGCAAGCTTCTATGACTTTGCCTTGGTCAAGTTGTGCTGACTTCCCCTATATTGTGTATTGTCTTTCCCTTCACCAAAGTTAACACTTGTCTACTATCTAGTTAGTGATTTCCCCTCTCCACCCCTCCCCTCCCTCGTAACCATCAAAGATTTTTTTTTTCTGTGTGTAAACCTTTTCTTGGGTTTTTATAATAGTGGTCTCATACAGTATTTGCCCTTTTGTGATTGACTTAACTTCACTCAGCATAATGCCCTCCAGATTCATCCATGTTGTGAGATGTTTTGCATATTCATCATCGTTCTTCAGTATTCCATTGCATAGTATTCCATTGTGTGTATGTACCATAATTTGTTTATCTGTTCTTCTGTTGATGGGCACTTAGATTGTTTCCATCTTTTTGCTATTATAGATAATGCTGCATTGAACATGGGCATGCATATGTCTATTCATGTGATGGCTCTTATTTCTCACCATAGTTTTTAATGTTTTTAAATCAACCATCATCTATTGAGTATCTACTACCAGGAGCAAAGCCTTATTCCAGATGCTGTAGGGTAACATTTATCCTCATGAAGTTTACACCTACTGTCAGAGGAAAACATGGAAAAAGTTACCGGTGTTACAGGGCAGAATGAAATAAGTGCTGTTAAGAATGTAGTTTCTCACAGCCAAACACTTCGAGGGACAGTGTAGCAGGGGCGGGGTTCTGGGGACAATGGTTTCAGGGGACATCTAGGTCAATTAGCATAACAAAGTTTATTAAGAAAATGTTCTGCATCCCACTTTGGTGAGTGGCGTGTGGGGTCTTAAAAGTTAGCGAGCGGCCGTATAAGATGCATCAGTTGGTCCCAACCCACCTAGAGTAAAGGAGAATGAAGAACACCAAAGACACAAGGAAAATACTAGCCCAAGAGACAAAAGGCGCCACCTAAACCAGAGACTGCGTCAGCCTGAGTCCAGACGAACTAGATGGTGACTGGTTACTGCCAATGACCGCCCTAACAGGGAACAGAGAGTCCCTGATGGAGCAGGAGAAAAGTGGAGTGCAGAACTCAAATTCTAGTAAAAAGACCAGACTTAATGGTCTAACTGAGACTGGAGGAACCCTGGAAGACATGGCCCCCAGACTCTCTGTTGACCCA